AGAATAATTTCAGTTGACTTGAAAATTATAAAACACCAAAACTAAAGAGATTATGAATACTAATAATGGATTTAACCAAGACAACTGTAAAGACTGAAGAAAGAAGCATAGCCAATATACCTCCAAAAGTTCAGAACCCCAGCATTACAATGCTATTATGGTGCTAAGGTTATAGCCAGCATTACAATGCTAGATAGATAAATTTGCTCCAAGCCAATTGAGGCATTCATCCGTTCAAAATTGCATCAAGAAATAGGCAAACCATATTTACAGAACACAAGAAAAATTCCCAGGTTATTTCCTATCAGCCATGCAAATAAGCAACTGAAATGCAACAAAAATATAAAAAGAAAATACAAACGCAAGAAAGGCATTCTGCTTACATCACCAACATTGAGATCTGGATTTCCATGAGTGTTTCCATTTCCAGATGCATTTTTCTCATCATTAGGAATCCACATGGAATTGCTACCCTGAGGCCCATCAGAACCATTTTTGGGGCTCTTAATGAACATTGCATCAGTCACTTGATCCCCTAGGTCCATAGATTCGCTGGTCATCCTGGCACTTTCTGAAATATTTTCCAGCTCCGCATTAAATGTCTGGTGCTTCTCAATTTCCAGTCTTAAAACACCTTTCACAGGTTCATGGACCTTGCGTTTAGGATCCTGTTATAATAAAGACAACAAAAAAAGAAAAAAAAAAAGAAAAAAAGAAAAAAAAAGAGTGAAGCAGAAAATCAGAAGCCATTGCTGCAAAAATGACAAAGCACCAAAAAGGGAAAAAGAAGAAAAAGAAAAAACAGGGGATGAAGATGCTGAAAAGCTTACTCTAGAAAAAAAAATGCATATAAATGCTTTTAATTAGTGAAAAAGGTAATTACGTGCATTTCTATACTCAAAAAAGGATAAGTTCTCATAAAATATCTAGAAAACATTTCAGATTCTTCATTTCTTTGACCTCCCTTTTTTCACAGCATTTCTTTGGCAGAGTTGTTTTGGGTTTTTTATTAGCACCTCACTTGCTTTCTTCAAAACTTTCTTATAAGCATTTCAAATGCTAAAAAGTAGAGTTTCCCTCCAATACTTCTTTAGACTTGTGAGAGAAAAAAGTGCTTATAAACAAGTTGAAGGATAAGCTCTACCAAACAAACAGTCATTGAGGGTCATTAGCTCCCTTGCACTTATCAGTCAAATGCATGCACATTTGCTAAAGCCAAGGTATAACACGATAATATTTTCAAATGCTTCACAAATGACCCCCTCCATGCCTCTTATTTGCGAAGATATCTTAATCACAAAGGCAGATAAGAAATGTTATAAAATTGTATCGTTTGATGAAGTATTCCATAAGTTGATCAGTACAACCTCCAGTTGAGAGCAAACTTTGGTTCACAAGTTAGAATTACATCATTATTTGTTTCACAAAAAATGTAAAGCTCTAAATGAACAGAAACCTTCTAAAGCTCCCCATTTTCCATAGCCTCCCCTACTCTCTACCTCATCCTCATCTTCTCCTATTGGCATTGGCACAGGATGACTCCATGAACATACCTTCGGTCAGTTTATATTGGCATGTAATGACTCCATTAAACCCTATAAGCAATCAAAATTATGCATGTAGGGATGGAAGAAATGAAGGACTTCAACTAGTCTTCAACTTTTCTTCGCGAACCATAGAAAATAAAAGCCAGAAATCAACTAGAATGTCAAATAAAATAGAGCAAGTTAGATGTCCATTATACCTGAAGTGACTCCTCAGTATAGCTTTCTTTCACTT